AAGGGGGGGGGGGGTAATTATGAAGACACTCTCCTGGTGATGCGGATAGTGGGGATGTGAAAAACACACAACTGTTATAAAGCTAAAAGGCATTTGGTAGATCAAGTCTGTATGTCATCTCCCATCTCTGCGGTCAACTTGACTGGCTGCCCAGGTTCGAATGCGGGCATGCCTATGAAGATCAGACTTTGTTAGCCAGGTGGGTTATCAAATGATGTGATTGAGGATTTCAAGATAACTGACCAAGATAAGGACAACTGGAACAGCGGAAGGCGTCTCCAAGATAACAACTGCCACAGCTACTGGTGAAGGTCTTGGCAGTCCCATTAACCACCAGCTTAGAGGCGTCATTCGTCGTCTGAATTGGAAGAGCCGAGCCGGGAGCCTTCAGATGTGCCGGTAAATCGTCTTCCTGTGCGAGTTCTAACTCGCGCAGTCCGCAGGTGCAGTTCTTGCATGCCTTCTTGGCTTTCTTCGGGTTACACTCTTCGGTAGTTGTGGTGCTGGGCTTCTGTAAGTCTTCCTCGGTTAACAGGCTCGAATCGTCAATCAACTCCGTATCGGCCGTCGTGAAAGACCATAGGGACGCTTTGGCCGTCTTTTTTGGTAGGTTGATAGTCACCGAGTTGACAGCAGAGGCCGACTTGGTTGCATTCACGTGCTAATAATGCAAGAATTAGGATGTCAGTATTCTAGATTTAGCAACTGTGCAAGCATGAAGGCTGGAGAGACCTACCTTGGCCCCATCCGCACCAGAAACAATTCGTACGTCGCTCATCGCAGATGATTTCTTGAGGGCAGATTCAATTTCGCTTATGTCCGACGGGGTAGCCCATGTTAGGTTCCCGAGAGGCTTTAGGGAGGGCAGGACCAATTTGAGAAAAGTTGCTGGAGAGTGTGATGAATTACTTAAGGATAGATCTGCGGTATCTACAGCCAGATGGATGGCATCGAACTGGGAGGGGGATAAGTTGATAGCTGGAGGAAGATCAATAGTTCGAGTCAGACATTGGGTTCTCAACAGATGGATGGGGAATTCTGCGCAGAGGCTTACCACCATCAGAAATTCGGTCACACAGTTGTTTTTCGACTAAAGTTGAAGGACCTTGGTTATCGAAGCGGTTAATGAGCTGAGTGTACGACCCGTCTTGAATGGATCGAGGTGAGCCGATGAGTAGAATCCTCTGAGCTGAGTTATCGGTAACAGTCATCTTCTTGCAAAATTTAGTTGGTTGGTGGTTTTGGTGCGGGCGAATTCTAAGTGGGCTTAATCTGAGAATTAACACAGACTGATCTCCAAAAAGGGGTCTCTTAGCGACAGAAATACGTCCGGAAGCTGAAACAGTTGTAAGACCGTCCGCATTCGTTCGGTTTAAATCCGAGGCTTCGAACTAATTATTTTCTGCACTACAACTCATACTACAACTTCCTCAACACTCCAAAACCTGATCCCCTTGGAGGGATGGTAGAGCTGATTATTGCGCACATGGGTGTCTTTCAAACTCCTCATCAGCCCCACAGTAAAAGTTTCTGCTTCAATTCTTCGAAGGCCATGAAGCAGTGGAAGACTTCCCATTAGTCTAGATTGCTTATTTGAGATGGACTAATTTTAAATTCTCAACTATGTTTGGTGATGGGAACTCATCCGTCATAGTTTTTCTTCACAAAACAAAGTTTGGAATTTAGAATTATCCCATCTAAATTAAGCTTTCTGGGTGAAGGGAAATCTTCCAGTATGGACTTGTTATGCATCCTGCCCAATTGTTTCGGGAGAAACAGAAAAAAAACATATACATCATTTGTATTTATGGTATGCAAAATTTGGGCCTAAAATCATAAGCAGCTTCCACATAAAATTTTTTACAGGGAACTTGTCACAACACATAAAACCCTCTTGACAATCCCCTTCCGAAACTTTGAACTATGCCAATATGAATGATATTTTATCATTTTAAGCCCCAATTTTGAATATGATAATTTGGTTAAGCAAGATTTCACTGAAATCTGATTATTTTCATGCATATAACTGAGCCGTAGGGTGTGAAAACTCCACATTTGGAGTCATGCAGGATGTCTTTTCTCACACAAACACAGTAATACATCATCATGATTTCTGCCTGTATTCATATCAGTGTCAGCTAACCATCACAGCTTGTTGGGGTTGTCATGTGTGATGGCTAGTTGAGTGACATGTGGAATGTGGGCAGACATGAATATCTCCATTGCTCTGACCGTGCAGGGAAAGAAATCCCATGTGACTCCAAATATGGAGTTTGCACAACAACTTAATGTTCTTTCTTTGTCATGTCTTTCTGTCTATGCATGCTACGTCATACCTTTCATATTCATTTCACTCTCATGTCACAGATCTTGTACCATACCTGGAGCAGTGCATGTGAAAGGAATTTTTTTCTCATCCTTCCACATTCCACCTTCTCTGCTCCAGGCATGTATTTTTGTCATTGTCTTTCTTCTCTCTGTCTCATGTTTCTCTTCTCTTCATTAGACATGCTTTATGGATTAATCCACAGCTCTTGAAGAACAGAAACCTCAGAGTTAATTTCTGTGTTCGGGAAACTATTCCCAAAAACATACATATTATGGAAGTTAATTTAACAAATTCAAAAATTATTGCATACATCACTTTTTGTGTTGGAGTTGGAAAGAGAAAAAAAATGTAAGAAACAAAAGAGCTGGGATCTGCAGGGTTTAGATCATTTGATTTGTAATAAAAAATGAAGAATTAAGTGTTTTATTTGAAATTTGTGTTTTTAGAGGGGCTTTAATGCTCAAGGTTATGTGAGCAAATCTAGAAGCACTTTTGATCAATTAATATAATTGGTTTAACTTTCTTTTTGAATTTAATGCATTATGCACATTTTATAAAGGGGATTCTGGATTCGAATTCTATTGTGAAAAACACCAGTGGACAGCTTTGAGCAACAAGGAGAGAGTTGACTAAAAGTATGCAGCAAGGATGAGAGGAATGAGTTGTACCTATTGAGGTATGACTGAATAAACAAAATGGTGAGTGAAGAAAAGGAAATTAATCAGAAAGAAAAAGAGATGATCTAAAAGGGGGGAACACCTGAAACCTTATCAAGATCAAATCTGAGTTTGACCAATTACTAAGTAACCTAACCCTAATCCTCCCATCCCACACTATGGTCCCCTCATATTCACATCTTAAATTGTGATTGTTTCCACAGAGCTTTCAAACAGTAGTATTCTTACATGGATTTCCTGTGTGATCAAGCTATAAGCCTACACCACACTGTTATGATCTATCTTGGAGAGGTGAAAGTCTTCTAGGTTCAGATCTTGTATTTAGTAAATTTAAGATGAGGAAATACAAGGTTTAACATGGGGAACTAACTCCCAGTTTGGGTCTGTAACATGTGTCTTGTGAGACATGACACATAGATCATAACACACACTGAACAGATGATTTCTCGTAGTGAGAACTTTACAAATACAATCCTTACACTGCAAAAGAAACTTGCTAAACTGCCTGAAGTTGACATGCAGAAATTCCCAGGAAGCTTCTGTTGTTACTCCAACCATTCTCCAAAATTGATTCAACAAAGCTTTGATGAACAGTCACTGTGCACACTGCACAGTGACTGTGCCAAAAAATCTATCAAGTTTGGCCAAGTAGGTTTTCTTGTCAGGTCAGTACTTTGGACATGGCTCTCAAAAGACATAATTTATCCCATAAATATGGGTCTAGTGTATGCATCACTGCAAAAAAAAATTGCTCAACTGCTTCCAGTTGACATGCAGAAAGTCCTATGCAAACAGGTGGAGTCTGGATGGCAGCATGGCTGGAGCATGCTGCATTTCAACTGCAGGCAGTTGAGCAGGTTTTTATTGCAGTGTATTAACATCCTTTTATTCAAGCTAGGGCCCCTTGGCTCCCCATACCACATATTTGGGCTTTATTTGACCTGTAAAGATTTATTCAGATACATTTTTTACCATATTTACTGTTTAGTTTTTGCATTATTCATAGTGCGCTGTGTCCTTTTTCTCTTTGCCGCTCTGCTCTGCCATGCTCTCCGCGCTCCAGTCCACAACCTTTCTAAAACCTGATTGTACAAGAAAAACAACCTAAACCATC